TGGGATTTTGATGGGGATTGCATTAAATCTATATAATGCTTTAAATAATATGGTTATTTTAACTACGTAGAGTCTTCCAATCCAAGAACACAGAATATCTTTCCATTTCTTTGTATTTTCTTCAATTTCTTTTAATAGAGTCTTGTAGTTTTCATTATATAGTCCCTTCACATGTTTCGTTAGATTTATTCCTAGGTATTTTATTCTTTTTGTTGCAATTGCAAAAGGAATTCTATTTTCCACTTCTTTTTCTGACACTTAATTATTAGAGTATAAGAATGCTATGGATTTTTGAACATTGAGTTTGTATCCAGAAACATTACTGTATTTGTTTATTGTTTCTAGTAGTGTTCTTCTGGAGTCTTTAGGGTTTTCTATGTAGAGAATCATGTCATTCGCAAATAATGACAATTTGACTTCTTTGTTTCCTATTCGGATGCCTTTTATACCTTTCTCTTACCTGATTGCACTCGCTAGGACCTCCAATGTTATATTGAATAACAGTAGTGATAGTGGACAGCCTTGCCTTGTTCCTGATCTTAGAGGGAAGGTTTTTAGTTTTTCACCATTAAGGGTAATGTGGACTGAGGGTTTGTCATATATGGCCTTTATTATATTAAGGTATTTTCCTTCTATACCAATTTTGTGAAGTGTTTTGATCATAAATGGATGCTGTATCTTGTTGAAGGCTTTTTCTGCATCTATTGATATGATCATGTGATTCTTATTTTTTAATTTTTTTATGTGGTGTATCACATTAATCGATTTGCATATGTTGAACCATCCCTGTGCCTCTGGGTTGAAGCCCACTTGATCGTGGTGTATAACCTTTTTAATATGTTGCTATATTTGGTTCGCTAATGTCTTATTTAGGATTTTTGTATGTGTGTTCAAGAGATATATCGGTCCGCAGTTTTCCTTTTTGTGAGTTATCTTTACCAGGTTTTGGTACCAGGGTGATATTAGCCTCATAAAATGAGTTGGGAAGTATTGCCTCCTCTTCGATTTTTTGGAAGAGTTTGAGGAGAATAGGTATTAAATCTTGTTTGAATGTTTGGTAGAATTCACTGGTGAAGGCATCTGGTCCTGGACTTTTACTTTTCGGTAGATTTTTGATAATTTTTTCTATTTCCATACTGCTGATTGCTCTATTTAGATTTTCCAGTTCTTCTTGATTCGGTCTAGAAAGGTTGTATTTTTCTAAGTTCTGGTCTATTTCTTATAGGTTATTAAATTTGGTGTTATATACTTTTTCATAGTATTCTTATATGACCCTTTGTATTTCTGCAGTGTGTCATACTTTCCCCTTTCATCTCTGATTTCATTTGTGTCCTTTCTCTTTTTTCTTTAGTGAGTCCAGCCATGGGTTTGTCTATTTTATTAACCTTCTCAAAGAACCAGCTCTTTGTTGCATTTGTTTTTTCTGAGTCTGAACTTATGATAGTGGTACATCCAAGTGGAGATGAGGGCTGCTGAAAAACTCAGATTTGGAACCTAGGTGAGTCATTAAGGCTTGAGATAGAGGAGAAGTGAGCATTCAGAAGAACATAAAGCAAGGTAAAAGAACATGGACAACGTAGAATTAGGCACAGGAGACAAAGGACCCATGTAGTCCAACACACTTATTGGTACTAGACAAAACCTGCATGCCCCATCTATCCAGTTCCTTAAGTCAATCTTGGAAAGACAGGAGCAAAAACGGAAATTCTACCCTCATCAACAAAAGAGGTTGAAGGAAGGGTGTAGGGGAGCCAGTAAAGGAGTATCTAGAATGCCTTGGTTCATTATATGTGATTTATCAAAGACAAGAATCCTGAGCCTCTACACATTCACCAAACTAGCCTAATCCCTAAGTTGCCATGATTTCACAGTCTGTATTATTGTTCTGTACCAATTCCTGATTCTCGCTACACTTGCCTTCTGGGATTGAAATACTACCCTGAATCTCAGTCCACTTGACGAGGGCCCCAACTCTTACCTGGCCTATATCAGGTCCCTCTCACCGAAGAGTGGACTATTGACCAGGGCCCTGTTTCAAATCAAAGCCCTCCTCCTCTCTTCTCACTCTAACCTCAATTTAAAAATTAATAATGAAAGCTAGAAACTTCAGCATCTAACTACTCGCATCTGCACACTTTGGGACCCTTGGCTGCCAGCTCCACCTGGGATAGAGCCAGGCCCTCTTGGTCACTATAATTTGACTTTCTGTCACCTCTTTGGATTGGAGAAATAAGAGAAGGCTCAGGAGAGTGTGCTATCTCTGGAGCCAGGAGAGGAAAATTTTTTAGTGTAAGAGCTAGTTTTCAAGACAGTCAACTCCTGCAGAAAGATGGAAGGAGATTGTTTGATTTGGTGAGAAGTAGCTCATGGTGACAATGAAGAAAGGTGATGGTTTTAGTAGTGTGCTGGAGATAGAAGCCAAATTACAGGGAATTTTGAATGCTTTTCATAATAAAGAAACTCAGACAACAATGATTCAATCATGAGAAAGCTTTATTTGAGCCTGTGTTTGCATACAAATCATAAAGAATGTGTTCACAGACGTTCACCTTAAAGACTCAATTCTTGTAGTTTCTCAATACTTCTAATTTCCTTCTTCCCTGTCTTCTTCAATCTTTCTTTTCTTTTCTTTTCTCTTATGTATCCTACTTACTCCCCATCATTTTAACTATGTTCCTAAACAGAGATATAGAAAAAACTTTAATGAAATAATGAAATAAAAAACCCCACAGAAACATGTCAAGTACCTCTGGGGTGAGGATGAAAAAAGATGCAAGGGAGACTCCTTCATCTCACCCTTAGGAGCATGAGAATCTTAAACAAGGGTAATAGAAAATTTATCTATACAAAGAACTGGCCCTTCTTTGCCCCAAGCTGCTCAAGGGTCAGAAATGAAAACATCAGAGAGGAAAGATTTAGGGAAGATTCATGGAAGGAGGAAAAATACAATCATTAAGTGAAAGCCATTGTCTTCAGAAAGAAGAGAATAGTCTAGAGAAGAGAATAGGCTAGCCACAGCAGCAGCATTCTCTGAAGAACCACTGGAATTCTGACTTCCCCTTTGCTATGGAGACACAGGGCACTACATGCCCCATTTGCTTCCTTTCTCTGTCTGGTGAGTCAGGCAGCCTTCAAGATCCAGCTCAAACTATACCCATCTGATGATGATGCCTTCCCTAACAGAGTCCCCCTGGGCAGAGTTCACTCCTCCATACTCTGGGCTCTCATACCTCTAAGTATCAGGTATGAAATGTATGATATAAATGTCCACAACTCTAAGTCCACTGGAAAACTTGTATTTATTTACAAGTCTGTCTGCTGGTCAGGAGCTCTCTGACCTTTGTATCCTTAGTGTCATATAGTGCCTGGCACATAGTTGGTAACTTAATAACTGTGAGGGTAAAAGGAGAAAAGAAAGAAAAGGAGGGGGAGAAGAGGGAGCGGGGAGAGTGAGGGAGAGAAGGAAGGAAGGAAGGAAGGAAGGAAGGAAGGAAGGAAGGAGAAAATAAAAAGCAGGATGGAGGAAGGGAGAGAGAAAGCATCTGACTCAAGGTTCTCCAGCTACAAAAAAGGGAAATAGACTCAAAAAACTCTGGAAGAAAGGGACAGAAAAGGGGAAAACCAATTTTCCAGGTCTTCTCTGCCTCTCACTCTTCTCTCTACCACTTCCTCTCATAACCTTACACCACAACTGTCCTCTTTTCACTCTTGATCCCTCAATTCACTCCAAAGAGAAGGAAAGCAGCCAGTCAGACTTCTGACTTATTCCATCTCATTCCTTCAAACCTTGTATAATCGCTTTGCCTCTGCCCTCCTCATCTTCCCCACATGCAGCACTCCCACTTTATTGTCCTGGCTTCTCAGGCCCCTGTGCTGTGCCAAGTCTGGACGGGAACTTCTACCTCAGACTGAAAACCAAGAGGCTCTTAGAGGTAGCCTTCAGTGTCTAGGCTGAGGAAACGCTAGACTGGGTCTGCAAGTTACCTGAGAAAGACTATTGTCAAGAGGGTTCATGTACCCCAGGGATTAAAGAGTAGAAAGGAGCAAGTCTTAGAAAAGGGAAGGGCTCAACAACTACAGTCCTCTCCCCACCACCCCA